AGCGCACACACCCTATAGCAAAAAACTCTCAAAAAAAAAAAAAAAACCCAGACATTGTAATAGATGATAATGTACGTTATATTATTTTTTATTTTTAATTAATTTATTTTTTTTGGAGAGGTTTTTTTTTTTGCTATAGGGCGCGTGCACTCGCCAGACAGAGAGAGACATAGAGAGAGAAAGTGAGAAATCACCCCCCAGAGGGGATGGTCACGCCGCAATCCCTTCTCCTCCATTCTCCTCTCGGGATCTTGGGCACGCACGCACACGCACCTGGTGTGAGTTTTAAGCCACCGGGTCCGGGACGCGAACCGCAGTTGACTACGTGGGAGTCCAGCGACATAGCCATTACGCTAACTGCTGGTTCCCAATGTATGTTATATTATTTTTTTAAAAAGCATTATAATAGACAATAATAGACATAATAGGCATTATAATGACATCATAATAGACATTACGCCGGATTCCGGGAGCCCAGCGGAGAGCCAAAGGGTGTTCTAAGTGAGCCCTGCGGACATGGTAGCAGGAGGACCCCCCAAGGGCAGTTGAGAGGGGCTAGTCAGGGATCCTCAGGACAGAACACTGAGGATGTTCTAGGAGAGAGACAGGTAGGGACACTTTCACGGCCCCTGGAAACACCACAGGGCCCAGAGCATCTAGAAGGGATTCTCAGTGAACATTAAAGAAGGGGCTTTGAGGTCTTTTTGTTTTCTTCTTTTGGAGAGGTTTTTGCTATAGGGCACATGCACGCGCCAGAAAGACAGAGAGACAGAAAGCGAGAAATCGCCCCCAAGGGGGGATGGCCACACCGCAATCCCTTCTCCTCCGTTCTCCTCTCGGGATCTTGGGCACGCATGCGCCTGGCGTGAGTTTAAGCCACCAGGTCCGGGACATGAACCACAGTCGACTACATGGGAGTCCAGAGACATAGCCATTATGCTAACTGCTGGTCCCTTTTTCTTTTTCTTTTTTTTAAGAATTATTTTATTAAAAAAAAAAAAGAATTATTTTATTTAACTTTATTTATTATTATTTTCCAGTTTGATCAGAGAGAGACAGAGAAAGAGAGGGAAAGGGAGAAACCAAGCCACCAGGTCCAAGACTTGAACTGTGGTCAGCCATGTGGGAGTGTCCAGTGCCTTAACCACCAAGCCACCTGCTGGTCCCCAGTATTTTTCATTTTTTAAGAATTATTTTATTAAAAAAAAAAAAGAATTATTTTATTTAGTGACCAGCAGTTGGCATGGTGGTTAAGATGCTGAATACTCCCACATGGTCAGCCACGGTTCCAGTCCTGGACCTGGTGACTTGCTTTCTCACTTTCATTCTCTCTCTCTGAGTATGTGTCTCTGGTCAAATTAAAATAAATGAATGAATAAATAAAATTAAACAATTCTTAAAAAGCCAAGAGTTCTTTTATTTAACTTTATTTATTTATTTAAATATGACCAGAGAGTGACAGAGTGACAGGGGGGAAGTGAGAAAGCAAGCCACCAGGTCCGGGACTCGAACCATGGTCAGCCATGTAGGAGTCCGGCGCCCTTAACCACCATGCCACCTGCCAGCCCTGGTAATTTTTTTTTAAATGTATTTATTTTCCAAGAAAGAGGCACCCCCAGCAGAGTCTTCACACAACTGTGCATGCTCAGTCTTCAGCAGGCTGCATGCACCTGGTGTAGGGATGGAGGTCTCAGGATGTGAACCTATGCCCTCCCATGCAGGTCCAGTTCCATAACTGTTATACCAATCTGATCCCCTTGGTATATATATATATTTTTTTTTTTTGAGAGGTTTTTGCTATAGGGCGCGTGCGCTCACCAGAGAGAGACAGAAAGACAGAAAGTGAGAAATCACCCCCCAGGGCAGATGGCCACGCCACAATCCCTTCTCCTCCATTCTCCTCTCGGGATCTTGGGCATGCACGCACATGTGCCCGACGTGAGTTTAAGCCACCAGGTCCAGGACTCGAACTGCGGTTGACTACATGGGAGTCCAGAGACATAGCCATTATTGCCAATTGCTGTTCCCTAAAATAATCCATAAAAAAGAGAATTATTTATTAATTGTATTTATCATTATCATAAGCTTTTAATTTGTCACAAGGCACGTGTGCTCACCAGAGAGAGAAAGTGAGAAAGCAAGCCACCGGATCTGGGACCCAAACCAGTCAGCCATGTGGGAGTCCAGCACCTTAAACACCACTCCACCTGCTGCCCCCCATCCCCCTGTACTTTTTAGCTGGACTCGGAAGATTTCATGGTAGGGCCCAGGGCCCAGAGATTCAGTGGGAACGCCCAGACGCTAGGATAGCAATCCTCGAGGCCATGGGAGGGAAGACTGGACCCATTTTAGCAGGATCCAGGGTATGTCCGACCACTGGGGGGGCAGGAAGGGGGGTCCTAGGGACATTTTATCAAGAACCAACAGACTTTAAAAAAATATATAGAATTATTTATTTAATTCCATTTGTTATTACTATTATTATTATCATTTTAATTTGACCAGAGACAGAGAGAAAGGAAAGTGAGAAAGTAAGCTGCCAGGTCTAGGACTCAAACCCTGGTCGACCATGTGGAAAACCAACGCCTTTAACCATCATGCCACCTGCTGGCCCCCAACAGACTTTTTTTTTTTAAAAGAATTATTTATTCATTTATTTCCATTTGTTATTTTTTTTTTTTCTTTATTTGATGAGAGAGAGAGAGAGAAAGGGAAAGTGAGAAAGCAAGCCACCAGGTCCGGGACTTGAACCGTGGTTGGCCATGTGGGAATCCTGTGCCCTTATCCACCACACCACCTGCTGGTCCCCCAACAGACTTTTTGACAAGATCCAAAGGTCATTACAGGACGACTGTTCCAGCAGCCTGCTTGGGCCGGGGCACAGTGGGAGGTGGAAGGCCGGCTGGTTAGCAGGACTCAGGGGGCAACAGAGAACCCCAAAGTTTAATGGGGTCCTGGGGCCAGTGGAGCAGGACCAGGGCATCCAAAAGGACACCAAGCTGTGTGATGGGACCTCAGGGCCCTCTCCAGGAGTGTCTGAGTTTCCGCAGGGCAGGCGGTGGGCAGGGATGAGGGCACCGCCCTGTAGCCCACTGAGGGCCGGGGAGGGGCCTAGGAGCAGGGTCCTAGGAGATGCGGAAGACCAGCCGCCGGGTGGGGGTGCGACAGCTGTCCTGGGTGAGCCGCCAGGCTTCCTGTTTCTAGGTGTCTGTGTGACTACTGCGAATCTGACTGTGAGTCTGTCTTGTCCAGCTGTTCATGTGACCGCCCGGTTGCCAGTGCACGTCTGTCTGCCTGTTCGTTCTGTGTATCCGTCAGTCACCCATCCGTCCAGCCATCTGTCTGCCTGCCTGCCTGTCGTCCACCTCCTCCCTTCTTCCCTGTTGTATGCCCACCTGGCCAGCCACCCACCTACCGACACGTCTGTTCTTACGGAGGTTCTGAGTCTGGAAGGGTCTGGAAGGATCTGGAGAGGGACCCTGGTGACAGAACCAGGAGAGGTTCCGAAACTGTAGGACTCAGAACAGGCGGGGGAGGGGCAGTGGCCAGCTGCTCTGTGGCTGCCGGAGCAGGTGCAGAGAAGGCCGTCCGCACTGAGGGCTCAGTCAGCAGGGTCCTGGGGACACGGTGGCTGGCGCCAGGGGACTTTGGTGTAGGCTCCTGAAGGCCGTTCTGCAAGCTGCAAGGGACCGAGGAGCATGGGCTGAGGGCCTAATGCTCTGGCTCCTGCAGGGCTCCGGACCGTGAAGGCACAGCCGTAATAGGAAAGTCCCAGCGGGGCTAGGGCAGACACGCAGGAGAGCTCTGGGGCACCTTAGGGCAGGGCACGGCGTCGCCATGCCAGGGGCTCGGGGACAGCTTGGAGGGACTCAGAACCTGCACACAGGCTCGTGCCAGGCCCTCCGAGCAGGAAAGGTGGGTGCACGAGCTTCAGGGGGGCCTGGAGACACTGGAGCTGGACTCGGGACTAGAACTAGGCTGGGGTACCCAGCAGGACAGAGGGCGGTGGTCACCGCAGGGCGACGGTCATCAGGCTTCCAGGCCGGCAACCAGGACTCCCCTGAGCACCGGCACACTGCGAGCATGGCCGTGACCCAGGCCGGCTGGGACTGGAGTGATCAAGAGCAGGGACCTTGTTGGGGTGCCAGTCTCCCTGTGTTTCTCTCTCTTATGGAAGAAATAAATACATATACTTTAAATATATATGCAGGGGGCCGGCAGGTGGTGGTTGAGGCGCTGGACTCGTAAATGACCAACCACAGTTCAAGTCTCAGGCCTGGCGGCTTGCTTTCTCACTCTCCCTCTCTCTCTTTCTCTGTCAGATTTTAAAATAATAATAATAATAAAATAAAATTTAATAAGTAATATATAGCCAATGGTGGTTAAACTGGCTGGATCCCACATAGCCAACTCCATGTTTGAGTCCTGCCTGGACTTGACGCCCAAAATCCCTGGAGGAGGAGCGGTTGCACCCTCTGGTGGGTGATTTCTCAGATTCTCTCTGTCTCTGTCTCTTTCTCCAGTGAGCACATACTTCCTATAGCAAAAACTAAAGAATAAATAAATATGTAATATGAAATGGTAGAGACAGAGATCAGAAGGGTGGTTGTGGGGCCGGGGAGGAGGGGCCGTTTCACCCGGGGTTCTGCTCCGGGGCATGGATTCTGAGTCAGACGCAGTGACAAGGCCTGGTACCATGAGTGCACTAAATGACACCGGAGCCCTGTGGGGCCGGCTGGGGCGTGGTGGTCGAGGCAGGACGGTCCCACCTGGCCCTCGACAGGGCTGGTCTCAGACCAGGTGGCTTCAGACATGCGGACGTGCCTGTGTGCCCAAACTGCTGAGAGGAGACTGGAGGAGAAGGTGGGCCGTCTGGCCATCCCCGGGGTGATTTCTCACTGTCTCTCTTGTCTCTGTCCGGCAAGCATATACACGCCAGAGCAAAACTAAAAATAGAACAACAAAAAACACAAGAAGGGAGTCTGAGCTCAAGGCAGCAGACAAGAGGCCTCCGCATGGCGGCTGGGACCGTGTGGTCACCGAGGTCACAGCCACAGCCGCAGGCAGGTTGTAAGGGGACACTTCAGAGAGGCCTGGCGGGGGATTCCAGGCCGTGGAGAGCTTGGGTTACAGCAGGGGCTGGGAGGGCCGCAGAGGTGCCAGGTTCAGCCCCCCACCCCGCTGTCGGGAGTGCTTTCTGCAGCGACACCTTCCACCTGAAAACGCGCAGCGGAGGCCAAAGAGAACGGACAAGTAGAAGGCAAAAGTCTGCAGACAAACAGGGGCTGGGCCGGGCGGGGTGTGCCTTCAGCTGGAAGGCGGGGTCGCAGTTCTTGGAGTCCTGGAGCTGTCTCCCGACAGGATATGAGAGAGGAACTGGGGTCCCCGGTCACGGGAGCCGGCCAGGGCTGCAGGCGGGGAGCGAACGTGGCTGCCGCGAGCGGGCCGGGGCCCCACACCCGGGTGGGGGGCTGGGGTCGGAGGCTCGGG